GCTGGGGAGAAAAGGCCTCTATCTATATGTTGTTGATCTCCCCTGATGAGTTTGTAGGCAGCTACCAGGTCCTCCCTCAGCCTCCTCTTGCTGAGGCTGAACAGGTTCAGGTCCCTCAGTCTCTCCTTATAGGGCCTGTCCTGCTGCCCTCTTACCAAGTGGGTGGCCCTCCTCTGAACCCTCTCCAGGCTGGCCACATCCCTTTTGAAGTGCAGCACCCAGTACTGGATGCAGTACTCCAACTGTGGCCTGACCAGTGTCGCATAGAGGGGGAATGTCACCTCTTTGGACCGGCTTGAGATGCACCTTTGGATGCATGGCAAGGTGTGGCTGGCTTTGCTGGCTGCAGTCTGGCATTGGTAGCTCATGTTCATCTTAGAGTCAACAAATGACTCCAAGATTCCTTTCCACCTCTGTACTTTCAAGGAGGGAACTCCCCAGCCTGTATGTATGCTGTGGATTCCTTCTCCCAAGGTGCAGCACCCTGCATTTGTCTATGTTGAACCCCATCCTATTCTTGTCTGCCCACTTTTGTGGTCTGTCTAAATCTATTTGCAGCCTCTCTCTCCCTTCAAGTGTGTCCACCTTGCCCCACATCTTAGTGTCACCAGCAAACTTGGACAGCACGCCTCCCACCCCCTTGTCCAAGTTGCTGATGAAGATGTTAAACAGTGCGGGCCCGAGGACTGACCCCTGGAGTACCCCACTGCTCACATCTCACTAGGTTGAGTACAGCCCATCCACCACTACTCTCTGGGTGCACCCCATCAGCCAATTTTTTACCCATCCAACTGTGCGGGCATCAATGCCACAGTCACTTAATTTATTGATGAGGATGGGGTGAGAGACAGTGTCAAAGGCCTTCTTAAAGTCTAAAAAGACTATGTCCACGGCAACACCATCATCAAAGGATTTAGTTACTTGGTCATAAAAGGCAATCAGGTTGGTCAGGCAGGACCTGCTTTTTATGAACCCATGCTGATTGCCCCTGAGCATGATCTCCCCTGCAGGCCCCCCAACAGATGTGCTCCTTGATGATTCTCTCCAAGATCTTCCCAAGCACCAAGGTGAGGCTTACAGTCCTATAGTTACTTGGGTCCTCCTTCCTCCCTGTCTTGAAAATTGGGACCACATTAGCCAGTTTCCAAGCCCCTGGCACCTGGCCAGATGACCATGAATGCTCATACAGCCAGGCCAAGGGCTCCGTGATGACCCCTGCCAGCTCCCTCAACACTATTGGGTTGGCATCTGGACCTGCAGATTTAAAAATGTCTAGCACTTCCAGAAGATCCCTAACTACATCTGCAAGTAAGCAGTTCCTTACTTATTAATGCTGGTAAGGAGAAGATTGTTCTTAGTGAAGATTTCCTTAGTGGTCTGAAATAAATCCCTCAAAGTATATAGGCAAGGTTTTATCTTGGCTTTACAGACAACCAAGAACACTTTCTTATCCACCGAGACAGGGAATTGCAAAGGCAGAGCACATGATACAATAAACAAGGACATGGCACCAAACAGTAAGGTCTGTGGGGGGAATATAAAGCACAATTCGTTCAAAAGTCTAGTTGAAGCTAATTCAGAGAGTCCCTTGGAGAGGTACTAAATGTAACACTGATTTACAGGTATGTTTTGTATTTGAGAACTATTAACCATGTAATCTTCAAGTCTGCAGAGGCCAAATTGATCCTATTATGACTCACTAAAAGACATCAGGGATGAATTATTTTATTCTGGGTATGTCTACATGTGCATTTAAGCATGACTAAATTTAATGCTCATTAAGTGATTTTGGCAGGTGTCTACACATGCAGCGACTTGGCACTAAAGTCAGTGCACTTGGCAGTAAAGTTAGTGCCAAGTCCCTGCAGCCCTGCCATATACCCCTAGTGGCTGGGCAGACCCAGCACTAAAGTTAGTACCAGGTCACGTCTATCTGTGTGTTAATGTGCTTTAATTAATCACGCCTAAATCTGGTAACTGCATTTGCATATGTATACAAACAAATACATATATGTATGTATGTATATTGTGGCAGAAGGCCACCTCTTTTTCTCCCCAAAAACTCTGCTCTGTAACAGTTTGGTTAAGATGGGACCAGCAGAGGATACACACCTTACCCTATCTCTTTAGGTAACCTGAGCTGGATACATTCCTGAGGGAGGGGGGAAACCTGCTCCCTCTGCCTATGTGACTGGCATCATATACTTGGGTGCGGGGCTTGCTCCCTGGGGAGCTAGGAACTGCCAGTCTGCCCAGCAACTAGTGATGCATTTCAAATTGGTTGGCTGATAGCCAACAGGTGCTGGCCTCCATTGGACCAGGTAAATGAGGTCACAAGGGCTATATAAGTTAAGGACTGCCCAGGAGGAGGGGGCAGCAGCCATGAGGAAGACTCAGAGACAGAGAAGAGCTGAACCATCTGAAACTTGCTCTCTCTCTCAAAACTCATGATCAGGAAACTACCTGCCTCCAGAGGGAATCTCCACCTGCCTCTGGATGATACTTGTGAGTAAGTTACCTGAGATCTAACTAGATACATAGCTTGCAGTAACTCAAATGCATGATCAAAGGCTACCCAGCCATGCCAGTTTGCTTTATGGGATTTCTCTGATATTGCTCTACCCTGTATCCTATTCCAACACTACCCCTTGTAACCAATAAAGTTCTCCTTTGTACCTAGCGTGGGAGACTTATTGGGAGTGGGTCTAGATTATGCCTTGGGGTCCCCTTGGTTTGGTTGACTAAGGGAGACCACTACTTTTACTTCCGACTGAGGGAAGCATCCCAAGTTCTTCAAGTGAATCAAGTACCCTTGAGGGCTACTAGGCCTGTGTTTCCCAGGGTGCATAGAGCCAGAATCAACCCCATCCCTGGGTGATAGCAGTGTTACCCCCAGGCTAGTGGGTGTGCTCCAGGAAGGGGGTCAGCCAGACGTGAGGTGCCCCAGGGAGGCACTCGGAGCCTGGAAGATGGTCGGGTGCAGTGATGTCGGTGGCTTAATGCAGGAGCACCCCCTACTCTGCCACATATATACACATATATATTTGTATGTATATATAAACAATTCTGGGAGGTTTACTAATACAGTCCTCTGACACAGAGGACACATCTACGTGAGACGTGTTAATGCACAGTAGCTTAATTTAACGCTCATTATGGATGTGTGTCTACAAGTGCATGCCCGTTATTCACATTAAAATGGCAAAATTAGGCTAATCATGTCTAAATTTGATATCTGCAAATCCAGGTATCAAATTTAGGTGTGATTAGTTAAAGCACATTAATGCATGTGTAGATGCGACCTGGTACTAACTTTAGTGCTGGGTCTGCCCAACCACTAGGGGCACATGACAGGGCTGCAGGGACTTGGAACTAACTTTACTGCCAAGTGCACTAACTTTAATGCCAAGTCCTTGAATGTTAATATGTGGTGCGTGTGTGTATTGTGGTAACTCCCCAAAGGACAAATCAGTTTTAACTCTCATTGTAAGTGCTGTACAAATATAGAGTAAAAAGCAGTCCATGCCCTGAAGAATTTGTGTAAAACTTCCTCATTTTTTTCAATGCTTTAAAAGGAAAGAATTCTCCTAAGGACTTTAATTTTTTTTCCATCTTGGAGCTTTGTTGAGTTTTTTGTTTTTAAGGAGCAGGTGACCATATCTCTGGGCTTTCATGTTTAGAGGGGTAGGTACTGGTGGAATGCAGTTTTTTAAATCCCTGTATTTGTTTCAGTATTTCAAATATGCATTAACTATTTTTATATTGGAGTAAGAAGTGATAATCAGAAACTTAATGTACCACACCCAGATTCATTATTGCACTTATTTAGAAGATCTTTTGTACTGTACCCAGGTCTGAGGTAACAGTCTAGCATTAGTTTATATAATCCTGTGTACTCATGTTTACATAGTTCAGTTAATTGTTAAGTGACTGAAGTTTTAACAAGCTATGTGAATAATGTCAAGAGGAAACAAAACAATATCAAGACATTTTTGAGGTACTTAGTAGACACAGGACAAATTATGAGTTTCCTGTTCATATTTATTAAATCATTTGATCCATCAAATTGCTATTAAAGTAAACAGGCCACTCCCGAATCTGGAGGATTAGACAAGTTGTTCTTCCAAAGTCAATGGACCTGTATTGCTCTATATCAACTGAGGATCTGCCCCAATGGATCAAAGGGCAAGGAAAAATAGAGTGGTAAAACCTTTAGGGTTTTGTACTTTTTACCTATCCAAAACTAGGTAGCTGGCCACTGTTATTACAGCAGCAAACCCAGTCAACCTTGCTCAGGACTTCATTGCCTACTCCAGCAGATGGCTTGAGCTCACAATGCTAAACTACATTTTAGTCATTCCTTCTTCAGGCAAATGTTATTGCTTTGGGAGACTGAGTAATTGTAGAGATAGGACTAAGCAATCTGGCTCACTATGGTAATGCTTCTTGGTACATATGGTCATGTCCAGATGAGGACAGACTTTGGCTCCCCAGGGAAAACTAGCAGCGGCACACCTTGTGCTGTTGCTAGTTGTCCCCAGGGAACATCTATGCCATGCGGCCTCTGACACACAGCAAGTTGCCCCAGGTGGGGTAGTGGAGGCTGGGGCCAACAACTGTGCTGGCCCCAACAGTCTTACCTGGGGTCCTGGGGGCTAGGGAAGCTGCAGCCTCAGTGCTCCTGCAGCTTGGAGCCTGGCCGGCAGCTGGAGCTTGGCTCCAGCCAGAAAAGCTCCAGTTTTGGGTAACACATGCTGCCTCCATGTGTGCCACCCCACTTTTTTTCTGATCTCCATGGGTCAAAAAAAAATCCCCTGGCTGCAAGGCAGCAGTATGGGAAACACTTGAATGTGCAGTGTCAGCCAGCCAGGCTGTTTCTGGTGGTGCATGCTGCTGCTTCCCGCACCACTTTTTTTTTTTAACAGTGTCTTTTTTTTTTACATTGGGATCTCCCAGTGTCAAAAACCCCCACCATGCTCCTAATTAGCAGTGCAATGAATGGGTGCACATGCACCCTGTGTAGTTTGTGGCATGTCAAATAGGTTTGAGGTGCTGCAAACTGCACATGCATGCAGGTTGGGACACACCCATGAAGGCTCCAGCTAAATTAAATCAAATTAGAAACTAGTCTCAGTATTTAACATTGAGGGTGATTAACCACTACAATAAGTTACCAAAGGACATGAATTCTACATCTCTGGGTGTCTTCAAATCAAGTATGGATGCTTCTCTGGAAGATATACTTAAGTCAACACAAGTTGTTAAGCTGAGATATACAAAAGCAGAAAGGTGGTTAACTGTGTTAGGCTGAAATCAGAGATGCAAAGGAAGAGCAGGATAACATCCTTACAGCTTTTAAAGGAGTTTTTCTGCTACCACAATACACAGAGGTCAAAAAATTTGTCCGGGGATGGCCCCACTGAAAGTACATGTATTTGTTGATAACATGTGGTCTGTGGGACCATAACTCCCCACCTTCCATTTTGCACAACTTTTCTGTAAGCAAAATGACTCAAGAGTTTCAGTCTGAGCAGAACTGGTTTGCCATTCACTGTGCAGTGTCTATGCAGCATCCTATGTTGACTTTAATGTGATCCACATGCACTCCATTTTTTATACTATTTGAAGTAAAATGTCTAGTCTTTTTTGCGAGCCTCTAGAAATTGGCACACAAATCCTTGGGCAGTTGAACCCTGCAGCGTGTTGAGTTCACACAGAGGAAAAGTAAGACATCCTAATTTTTTTAACCACTCATTCATTCCTGTTAAAGATATATATAATTCTCTGCCCTGCACCTTAATAGCTATCAGAAATTTCTGAGATTGTCCATCTTCCTCCCCAAACCTTACATTCTGTGTAATGGATTTCAGAAGGCCGTACATTTCCTATAATGTTTAAGTGGTCTATAACATGCTGTCACATTCTTTGAGTTGCTGTAATAACCACCCACTCACTAAATTACATAATGATCAGTGGGTCTGATCCTGCAGTCATTGTAGGGCCACAAAATGTAGGCCTCACACCATAAGAGCACTCCCAGAAGCAAGTAGAAAACAAATAATTGATTGCATAATCAATTCCAAGGGGAGTATTTGTCTGAGAAAGTACTAATTAACTAAGTGCTTCAGGATCTGGTTTATATATTAGGTATATAGCTCCTATGGATTTCCCTCATCTACCACATATATACAAATGCTCCTGCCGTTACTGTTATCATAATATGTTCATCTGGACTGAGGAAGGAATGTGCTTCAAAGACTTTTGCATAAGGGACAAAACTAAGATGTTTTGTTTGGTGCTGACTAATTTATGTCTATTAGGTAACTGATACTTCATCATATAGTGCTGAGCACTTGCTACATTTGCTGTGTGTTCTGTGCTGGGGTTCAGTCCTAAAGGATTGGGGTTTTTTGACTTTAAGTTTCAGAAAAGTGGAATCTGAGGGTCTGTTTTGGATGGTTAGCCACATCACACGCAAGGGAATATATTTTATTTCAGTGAAGCACAAAACTAAATCCCATTTACCCCTTATGTGTTAAGAATTTATTTACAACTTGATGTACACTTTACCAGCCAAGGACACCGTATGTGATTTCAACAGCCTAAGGAGCACCTCCTTGGACTTCCTCGAGATGCATCTGTGGATGCATGACAAGGTATGGTTGGCCTTCCTGACTGCGTCCCCACACTGCCGGCCCATGTTCATCTTGGCATCAATAATGACTCCAAGATCCTTTTCTGCCTCTGCACTGATGAGAAGGGAGTTCCCCAGCCTGTAGGTATGGTGCTGGTTGTTCCTCCCCAGGTGCATCACCTTGCACTTGTCAGTGTTGAAACCCATCCTGTTCTCATCTGCCCACCCCTGTAACCTGTATTGGCCCAATTGCAGCCTATTCCTCCCTTCTAGCGTACCCACATCCCCCCACATCTTAGTGTCATCTGCAAATTTGAACAGGGTGCTTTTTACCCCTTCGTCCAAGTCACTAAGGAAGATGTTGAACAGGGTGGGCCCGAGGACCAAGCCCTGGGGGACCCCCCTACCCACATCACTCCAGGTCGAAAATGACCCATCCACCACCACTCTCTGGGTGCGGCCCTCCAGCCAGTTAGTGACCCGTTTGACTGTATGGGTGTCGATGCCACAGTCCCCCAGTTTTTTAATGAGAATGGGGTGAGAGACCATGTTGAAGGCCTTCCTAAAGTCCAGAAAGACTAAGTCCACTGCTACCCCTGTGTCTAAGGATTTGGTGACCTGGTCATAGAAGGCCACCATAGAAGGCCAGCTTGGTCTGACAAGACCTGCCTCTAATGAACCCATGTTGTTTGCCCCTAAGCATAATCTCCCCTGGTGGCCCCTCATGGACATGCACCAGGATAATTCTCTCAAAAAGCTTACCCAGGGTCGAGGTAAGACTAACTGGCCTATAGTTTCCTGGGTCTTCCTTTCTCCCTTTTTTGAAAATGGGTACCACATTGACCCTTTTCCAGTCCTCTGGCACCACACTAGAGCACCACAAGTGCTTGTAAAGCTGTGCCAGGGGTCCTGCAATGGCCCCTGCTAATTCCCTCAGCACTCTGGGGTGGAGATTGTCAGGACCAGCTGATTTAAATACGTCCAGTCCCTACAGAAGTTCCCTGACTAGATCCTCACTGACTCTTGGCCTGGGTGCGCCTCCCCTGGGGCCTGAGGGGGTCCCAGTGGGGAGGCTGATCCGGTCCCTGCTCAGGAAAATGGAGGCAAAGAAATTGTTAAATAGGTTAGCTTTGTCTTCTGGTGTGACAACCAGATTTCCTAGTGTGTCTTGCAGAGGCCCCGTGTTATCCAGTAACTTCTTTTTGCCCCCTATGTATTTAGAAAAGGACTTCTTGTTGTCCTTGATCCAGGAAGCTAGTCCCAGTTCCATCTCCGCCTTGACCTTCCTGACCGTCCCCCTGCAGCCCCGAGCAACCGAAGTATAGTCCTCCCTGGTGATTAATCAAGTCTCCTGTGACACGCTGTAATTACAGCACTTTGGAGTGCCTCACCGCATGTGTATAGGTACCTTCTTAGGCTGGGAAGGGTACAGAACATTGATCTCCCAGTTCTTGGGGGAATACTTAAACCACTGGGCTGTTTTTAAGAATGGGCAGGAGCACCTGGCACCAGCTGTAGGTGCGTAAGTGTTCTTGTGGATATGACCCTTAAACTCCATAAGTACCTTAATGTACAACCTGAGGGCATGGCAAGGAAGCATCTCCTTGGGGTGCTGCTCTCTCCTCCTTCATATTTGGTACCTAATGGTGATATAGTCTATCAGAGACAACACTTAATTTTTAGAAGGAACAGGACCATAAATGGGACCCTAATTGCAAGATGGGGTGGATTCTGTTAAACAAGGTTGAAACTCTTGGTACTCCGTTATACATGATATTTTTAATCATTGTATAGACTTGTTGTTCTTCAGTGGATGGGATTGGTTGTTGGGTTTGGCCTGTGGTTTGCGCAGCGGTCATTCATGGGGCTCTGCCACCCCTACACCCCAGCCTCACACCTCCTTGTGTAAGTTGTCCCTGTGTCAGCCTTGTCCCCTCTCGTGGAGTTGCATCCCACAGCTGGATGCCTGCGCACTTGTCGCCCGCAGTCAGGTTTGCCCACGCAGGCCTGCCCCTATGCCTTCCCTGCCTCTACCTCTTCTTTCAGGGAAACAGAAAAAAAAAACCTCCGAGGCTCTCCCTTGGCCCCATTCCTCAGGGATGCTCGCAATACCCTCTACTCTTCCCCTTCACACAGGGCAACAAAACAGAAACTTGTCAACAAAATACGAAAGAGATGAGCCACCTCCTGACATGGCTACACCCTGTCCCCTTACTATTCTTCCCCTTACTGTAGCTTGGGGACATTCTTACTGCCTGTTGCCTCTGGGATTCACTCCCGTTCTTCCGTCGACCTGGCCGGGACTGGCGGCGATACTCGCTCCGATAGTAACCCCCTCGGGGCTCTCCTTCGGGTCTTTCCCTCTGGCATGACTTCCTTCTCACCCTGGTCATCCCAATACTCCCATCTGGAATCCGCTCGAGTGTCGGTTGCATCTCTGATTCCGTCTTCAGGTCCAGAGTGCCTGCCGCTCACCCACCTTTCTGTCCATGCTCCCAGCAGGGCGCTCCGCCCCACATTGTTTGGGTCCAGCCCCAGCTTGTCGGGCTCTGCAGGTCCTGTGGGGAAGATCTTCTTCCCTCCCAAAGGCAGCTGCAACCCCCTTTCCTTGATGCTCTCTCCTTCTCCTCCTTGTTCCTCCGCGGCATCAGCCGCCATTTTTATCCTTGCTGGCCGGCGTTCGGGGCTGACGTCACCGGCTGGCCTTAATTGGATAAAGAGGCGGCTGATGAGCCGTGCAGGCTCTTCTTTCCACCCCTGCTGTGCTGTGTCTCCTGTTGCCGGTGAGTACGTCTTGTTACTTTTTCCTTGTCTTTTCCCGGGACAGAGGATAACAGTAAACCTGAAATATTCTAGTAGCAGAAAGGGCTATTTCTGGAAATATTGTTACTGTAAATTACCTCTGCTAATCTGTACATAATATTTTAAAAGGACATGTATGCAGGAAAGCACGGTAAGTAAACTTGAGTCACTAGGGCTAGGTACAGACAGTTAAAAAGCCCATGGCTGAATCAATTCAGTCTTCGCAGGTTAGTCTAAGCTGTATGGACTGAATCCATAAACAAGTGAAGACATTCACTTTTGATTCTGGAAATGCAGCCACATGCCTGCAGTGGCTCAGGCCAGAAGCTAAGGGGTGCTAGAGTATGCCTCCCTGTTTGGCTGAAGCAGACAGCTGGGGACAAGCTCCCCTATCCTGTGTGTAGGAGGACTTGTGGGGGGCAATACAAAGCATCTTCAGATGCTGCGGGGCTGTGAGTTAACTTGAATCTGGAAGGCATCTAGGACAAAAGTTCAGTAAACCAATTTAAGCTAAATCAGTTAAATCTGATACTATATCTATCCAGGTTTATCTTAAACTAGTTTCAGCCATTTTGAAAGTGGTTTATGTACATTGAACTTGTGTTGTGTTACAGTTTGAACCAGTTTCTGATTACTTATACCGGTTTATGTGTAACTTCTGTCCCTAGCCCAGGAGAATACTGAACAGGAGCAAGTCTATTTACACCTGCAGGGAGATAGAAATGTATCTTACCATTTGAGATTCATAAATATGGGCTATTCAGGAGACATCAAGGAACATGGAAATCAGAGATAATCTTATCTTGCTAAGCAAATAGTAATGCAAAAGAAACTCTGTTATATAAAAGGAAAGAATGAATATTTTGCTCACTTTGAACATGTACACATATTCTCCCATTGAATTTCTGAGGGGGTTTTTTCATCTGTGTAAGAGAGAGGTTTAAAATCTGGTCTTAACAATACAAGACATTCATTGTTCATTCTCCTCAAGCTTTGCACGCTTTGAAAAGCTTGGGTTTTTAATCTTGTGTTTGCTAGCTTTTAATACATTATTTATATTCTAGGCCGGTAGAGAGACCGCTAAATACAATGTAACAACCCTTCATTAAAAATAGGGCTGGAAGGGGCCTCGGGAGGCAATCTAGGCCATACCACGGTCATATCCTAGATCAATGCTGTCTAACCAGTCCAAGCATGTGTCTGTCTATCCTGCTGTATCCTCCCCAGTAATGGGGATTCCACAACCTCTCTACCCACATCTTTAGAAAGTTTGTTTTAATATCCAACCTAAATGTCCTTTACTGCATTTAAAACTGTTATTTCTTGTCCTGTCCTCTGTTTATGTTTGACCCAAACCCATGGTGGAGCCTAGCCAGTTATTCCCTGATTTGTATTTGTGCATTTGATTGTTCCATCCTAAATAGCTCTTGTCCCATGTGGCATAAATGATCTTAGTGCAGGGGTGGAAGGACTCCAGAAGTTGATTAATTTCAGACCATTTCTCTCAAGGTCATTTTGAATCCCAGTCCTATCCTCCAAAGTATCTGCTATCCCATCCAGCTTGGTGTCATCTTCAGATTCATTAGGAGCAGAATTCTGTTTCACTTTACACTGTCAGATAGCAGTTTTCTAGTCTTGCTCATGGCTATTTTGGGAATTTACACACAGTTTGCAATCCTATTCTGTTTTATTTGTTGCAAGCATCCACACAGCTTCTGAGTAGGTAGGCTTCACACTGGCCAGGCAGGTAAGCAGCTATGTATGCTGGGTATGTAAATCACAAAATTCTGCCTGGCAAACACTCATGGCCAGTGGCAATAGCAAACCTTCCTTGTTTTAGCTACAATAACTGAGTAGTTAAAGTACTCATCCAGGTTCAACACCCCTCGCCCAGGATTTGAACCTACCATTTTTTTACTTCATAGCCTATTTGACCCACCAAGCCCCAGGTCAGGTATCATCTGCTTCCCTCGCTAGATAATGTTGAAGCTGCACTTTATATTTAATATTAATTTGGTAAATGGGTAGAGAATATTGAAGAAGCTTCTGTCCCATAGGGAACAAAGATTCAGGTTAGAACCATGGTTTTCTCCCTTCCAGGGCAGCATTCATCTCACAGAGCTACACATCTTTTAGTTTGCTCCCTTCCCACTGATCCCACTTATCTTCCTTTCTTGGCTTCCAGAAGCTTAATAATGATACCAGCAATTTAAGAGTAGGAAAAACACAATTTCAACTACTATCAATGGTACTAATATTAACTGCTGCCACCTAACTATGATAGAATATAGGGACTATTCTCTGCAATAAAAAAGAAATTGGATATCAAAGATACAGCCCATTGGCTGGATCTGGCCCATGGAGCCCTATCACCTAACCAGCGGTGCCACTGATAGGTTTCAGGCTGGACCTACATGCTATATGTGGTATGCCCCAAATTGGCCCTCATGCTGCATGCAGAGCCCACCAGCCCTGGCCCTGCACAATATATGTGATGCATGAGCCTGGTTTGGTGTGCATACTGGATCTGGTGCATAGGGCTAACCTGTGGATTCAATCTGGGCTGCAAATGATCTCTCTGCATCTCATCCAGCCCACAGGGCCTGATGGGTTTGATGTCCTTGTATTATAGTAGAATTTACAGAGGACATTAGTATGCCTATTTTAGACGCATTTTACTTTCTACCCATTGTTTTGTAAGAGACTGCCTGAAAGCAAACTCCTTTGCTTGAAGTTTGCTACAGCTATATTTGTTTATCAGGTTAAATGATTGACTTTCACTGTGACTAGAAATCACCAGTTTCTTTTTCCCACTCCTCTTCTATTGGTGGAGGAAGTCATGAGACTACATTCCTCACACAAATTGAAGGCACTGAACTGAAAAAGTAAAAAAAGAAACTAAGTTTATTGCAAGTCATACTTGACAATCTGAGCCAACAGATAGACAGTTCAGCTATAAGGCTAGGGACAGAAATTACACATAAAACAGTTTAAGTGATCAGAAACTGGTTTAAATTTGTAACAGAACAGATGTTCAGTGCACATAAACCAGTCTGACAATGGCTGAAACCAGTTTGAGATAAACCTGGTTGAATGTAGTATCAGACTTAACTGATTCGGCTCAAACCAGTTTATGCAATGTCTGTCCTAGACCCCTTGTTGGTTTAAGATAAGCCAGACTCCCCCAGCGTAGTCTGCCTTGTCTCTCTCCAGTGTGTCTCATATGGGGATTCCTCTCTAGCCTTACCGTTATTCTTAGGGATGAACACCTGGGTCACTGGAATGACTTCAGGTCAGTTCACCAGGGGGCCTTGCCTGCCACGTCTTTGATGATGATTGCCTTCAGATTGGGAGGATGATGTTTTTGTCCCATCTCCCCTTAGTGTCTCCCCTGGGTCATTCCTGCTGTTTCACCTTTGTGGGGCTCCAACCTCCCCTACCCCCCACCTAATACCAACCTTGATGTTGTCACCTGTGTTGTTGAGGCTGATGTCCTGTGCCATCTTTGGTGCTCCGGTTCCTGGAATACGATGGCCACTGGATGTGGGAGTTGTCATTATCCTGAGCATTTCTTCCGGCCTACTTCCTTTCCGATTATGCGCTGTCTGGCCTCAGTACTGGTCTGTCCCCCAACACGTCGCCTCTGCCCCGGGCTTGGGACCTGCCACCCATCTGTCTTGCCTGTATCCCAGCTCCACCAAGTCCTGCTGGGCTCCAATCTCTGCTGCTGGCTTCCTTGGTCCACACGGGCTCTGTAGCCAAATCCCTGGGCCCTCTCTGGCCCTGAGTTATAGTAGAGACCCTTTCCCAGGGTTACCACCAGGTCCCCTCACTGGGACTGCTTGCATTCTCAGGCCCCCCCGGGCCAGCTGGGGATGCCACTTCTGGTCCCCATCCCCCCCCACACACACTTGTCTTCCACTGGGCTTTTTATTTTGGATCCGGGGGTCTGGCTGCCCAATTGATCCCGGCACACACCAATGGGACTGTTGGCCCCAGCTTCTTCAGGCTCAGGCATTTTTTTTTCCTTTTTGTATTTTCCCATGGCGGCTCCTTTTATCTCCCGGTGTGGCGTCCCGCCGCCTCTGCTCTATCTCAGGTAAGTCTTTTCCACACCCAGCATGCTGGCATGCTCTCTGGGCTGGGCAGGGCTCTCTACTCCACAGCCAGGCTGGTCCCTCCCCTCTGCTCCCTGCCTACAGCTCCTGTAGCCTCTGCAGGCATCTGCCTGGTTTCTGCCCTCCCCCCCACCCATCCCTTCCCCACTCTCTACTAAGCAGGCATTCCCCTGTCCCTCACAGACACCTCTCA